ATATTTATCGCACTTTAAATTACGAGGTGTTTGTCTATGCGATGATTATTATTGTGACTAAACATTTGCTACACTTATAAGTCATTTTTAAATCACACTTTTCTCTCTCACACGCATACATAAACTTACGGCAAGTATTGTAATGACGATTAAAAGTATATATAATTATAACAATTATACTTTTGATGTTTTACTTTATTTAAAACACAGCTTTTATTGTCGGCAATTGTTGTTTATTCAGTTGTGTTTAATAAAAAATAAGTTCACAAATAATACTGTGAATACACTATTGAATATACAGAATACCAGAAATGGTTTAATTGAAAATATAATGTATGACTTATTCAACAATTTTGTGACACAATATATAATGTATTTTTAATGAGAAGAAGTATACGATTGCCAAACGGTGTGCAAAAAATGATTGCTGTATTTTAAATATGGTTTTCAATTTCAAAAAATCCCAATTCATTTAAAAACTAGTGTTTTGTCTGTAGTACAGACTCTGTACACTATTCACAGACTATACACGTATAATATAAACACACTTATACTGTACTGAAGGGTGATTTCATTGCAATTTGCAAATATTTTTTTGCATTTCATTTCAATCTACAGTAAAATTATTACTTGAGTTACAAATTTGATATTGAATTTAGTGTTGTTTTACTAAATATTGATTTTCAATGATAAGTTGCGGAAAAATATTTACCACTAAATGATATGAATTGCAAAATAAATACCAAAAAACATTTTATTCAAAATATTTTTTCAAAACCTTTTTATTTTGTTTTTCAATTGAAAATGAATTAGAAATAAATTTTTATTTCAGCATTCAAACACTTGTTGCCTAGAAATCTCTCTCTCTCTCTCTCTCTCTCTCTCTCTCTCTCTCTCTCATTAATTAAAGCAAACAATTATTTATAATTTATTAAATACTATTTACCATGCAGATCATACCATACATTATAATTTTATTTTAAAAAGTTTACCAATAAGTTTTATTAGATTTATTTACTCGTTAGTATCATTGTTTATACAGTTGACATAATAAATGTTGTCTGCAAATTGTGCTCACTCATATTCAACAACAATTTGAGAGAGAGAGAGAGAGAGAGAGAGAGAGTCTCTCACTCACTCACTCACTCACTCACTCTCAAAATAACTTTTATAAAATTGTTTATTAAATAAAAATATACTCAACAAAACTGATTGCTTGACATTATATTAAATAACAGATTACATATTGAACTATCAATTTAATTAACATTTTCATTGATTGCGATTCACTGTAAAAAGTTATTATTTATTATCAGAGCTTATATTTTTATGATTTACATAAATGACAGTTAATATCAGTGTCTTAGCGAAAGTATTTTACGACTTTTATGATAAATCAATAAATTATAACAAAAAGAGTTTTGATATAATGTATTAAACTGTATATCTCATGATAAATGTGCAAAATATTTAATTGTATGCCACGTACACAAAATAATTAGTAATTTGTTTACCATAATTAAACAATTTGTGTCAATATTTTTTCACAAAACAATGTCATTTTAATTGATATTAATTAATGCAATAAAAATCCCATCAATAATAAACTATGTCTTTGAATAGTGTATAAAATTAATACACAAAAATTCTTGTAATTATAATTTGCAATCAAATTACAACCCAGACTTTGGTTACATTAATGATTCATCTATTTATCAAATATTTTCAATCATTTGATATTAGTTTACATACGAAGAAAAATATGAGATTAATTAATCAAAAGCAAAAAATTTACAAAATAAACACGTTTTCTAAGAAACTATTCAAATAACAAAAATTTCATTTCATTTGTAAAATTTAATTTGAATTTCACATTAATTCCTGTAATACTTATAAATAAGTACTGTATTGATAGGCAATGGGGTAATCATATGATAAAGCAATTTAGTAATTGATACGCAATCGGGGTGGGGGTGGCCCTCGTCTAAGTACTTAATATACTCAATACATTAGAAAATCATCTAGGTTCCGACAAACTTATCACGACCACAAAAAATAACTCGTTGTCTGCTTAAATAAACTATTTTTATTTGTAATTATCAATCAATTTATTGTAATCAATATCCGTTTATTATTTATATAGAGAGTCAAAAATACCAATACTGTAATATAACTTATATAATTTATAACGGACTCACTAACAACCAGGGTGAGTTTGGAGGTTACAAGTTTGAGTATACAGTAAGTGTATAAAATTACATTATTCATTCTTATATCATGCAAAAAGTTGCATATTGGCAAAGTGTAACCTCCAAACTCACCCAGGGTGGCCGTTATATAAGAAACAATAGGTTCAGAAAGTATATAATTCTTAGACTTTTGTATATTTTGTGATTATTATTATGGATACTATCGTAGAAATTACAATGAGTTTGTGAAACCAAACAAATTGTGTGATTATATGTCCCATAAATTCAATGTCTATCACCGGCGACACTGTCTGGCGATATATGCGTGACGTCCTGTATATATCACTTGGTGTTCAAAAAATGTATTTCTTTGACTATATTTAGGCATTTGATAGCATTTTCTTATATATTGTTATGTAATATACAGTGATTATCAGTGAAAAAAGTTCCAAGAATTTTATGTAACAATTAATTATATGCCCACAGAATCTAACGATTAAAACGATTATGTATTTTATTATAATATAAAACTAGTTTATGATTAAATAATAAAAAATTGTATCGCAAAGTCATTGAACGCAACACTTGAGAGGGATTTCGGGAGAAAAATCAATTGACATTCAATTGTCATTGTATTAGATTTTATTAGTTTGTTGTAAATTGTCATACATGCTTTTTTGTTTTTCACATGTTTTAACACGTACACAAATAGTGTACTGCATATTCTCTCATTGATTAATAGTATTAATTTAATAATGTACATCATTTATAATAAATAAAAATGTTTAATATTTTAAATCAAATATTTATTAGTGTTTATATTCAAAACAAAAAGTCTTAGAATAAGTCCAATAGAAAGAAAAACAGATTTTTGTAATTAAAATTATAATAATTGTAATTAAATATATAACTAAAACATTTATATCAGAAAATATTTAGTCATAAAAAGCAGATAATAATAATAATTAAATAAAAGTGGAAATAATTTATAATAGCAATCATATTGTCTGAAATTATCGGCAAAAATAGTAATCAAATATTAATTATAATAAACGGCAAAAACTTTTAAATCATGAATCATTTTAAGAGATCAACTAATGGCAGACATCTCTGCAGACTAGGACCTCGTAGTTATGGATCGGCACCTCTTGGCCATCGTACGAGACATAGAGTGTATTATGACCAGGGTGCACTTTGCCCAACACCATTGAGCCCGAATGGTAGGCGCGACCGATGAACAACTTCTGGCCATCACTTTGTTGGCCGCCCTGAAGGGCGCCGAGCGGTATCTCCCCGTTGGCCGCCGGCACCCACACCAGGTTAGCGCCGCTCGGATTGGTCAGCACCTGGTAGTCTCGGTGGCCGTGTTCTGCGCCCCCGTACGCCACGTAACACACACCGTGTGAGGGGACCACCTGTTTTGGGGGTGAATACAAATGATTATGATAAAATTAATACTCTGGGCATAAATATAACTAAATCTAAATGTTTATATTTAACATTCTTTCAAATAAATGTTTGGTCCATATATAGGGGGTGGGAGTGGGGGATAGGGTGTAGAAAAACAAGATGATAACTTAATAACTGACTAAAAATAAGATTATGTTTATGCCGGTATAATTACTGAGCCACACCCCCTAATAAACATGGTTGTCATTGCATAATGTGCTGTTCAAATGGACAGTACCTTTCCGGGAATAGTGTCCCCTTCCTGTACGGCTCGGCCCACGTATAGCGCTTCACCATTAGTATCGTTGCCCCCTAAGACGGGTCCACCGCTGGGCACTTGACCGCTATAGCCCTGTTGCCAAACACCCGGCGGTCTGTATTGAGTCTCTATGGGAGACAATTAATGAGTGATTATTATTTCTGAATATAATTGCAATTTATTTATGAAACTAATTGTTTAAACAAAAATAGACTTTTTTTATTTATTCAGTACTCCATTGGATACCAGAAGTACTTGAAGTGAGAGAGAGAGAGAGAGAGAGAGACTAGTATTTGCTTGTAATACAAGTTTTATTGTTATTTTTTGTACATCTATTTCAATCAATAGGAGTAATACTTATATTATTTTATACGATAAGTCTATTAACTGGGGTTTAGTTGGGGTATAGTTTTGTTGTTGTTAGTGATGGTGTTGTGTACCAGATATTAAACTGTGCTGTCTCCGACTATATTATTTAATTAGTTATTAATTAATATTAAAACTCTCCCACTTTCCCAACAAAAGTGCTAGGTATTTATAACTCACATTTATATCTAATAACTAAAATAAACTCCCAATTAGTGAACATTTTCTAGTGTATGTGTGAATGATTTCATTACCATAATGTTTATTATTATTACCACTATAATTAATTAGGGGAAACGTCAGTTTCTCATTGGTTTACAGGCGTATAATTTCATTGATTAGATAAGGTTAAATATTTATCGCACTTTAAATTACGAGGTGTTTGTCTATGCGATGATTATTATTGTGACTAAACATTTGCTACACTTATAAGTCATTTTTAAATCACACTTTTCTCTCTCACAGTCGCTGTCATACCATTCAATTGGATTTAATTCACTGATTATAACCATAATCAATGGCTCATATATATCATCGTAAGTTAATTTTTACATCAATTAAATCTCTCTCATTTCAAATACTTCTGGTATCCAATGGAGTACTGAATAAATATAAAAAATATTGTTAAAACAATCTATTTTTGTTTAAACAATTAGTTTCATAACAAAATTGCAATAATATTCAGATATAATAATCAATCATTAATTGTCTCCCATAGAGACTCAATACAGACCGCCGGGTGTTTGGCAACAGGCCTATAGCGGTCAAGTGCCCAGCGGTGGACCCGTTTTGGGCGGTAATGACACTAATGGCGAAGCGCTATACGTTGGCCGAGCCGTACAGGAAGGGGACACCATTCCCGGAAAGGTACTGTCCATTTGCACAGCACATTATACATTGACAACCATGTTCATTAGGGGGTGTGGCTCAGTAATCAACTAGTTATACCGGCATAAACAACAACTTATGTTTAGTTAGTTATTAAGTTATTAGTAATAATTTATTACCTTGTTTTTCTACACCCTATCCCCCACTCCCACCCCCTATATGTGGGCCAAACATTCATTTGAAAGAAAAGCATATAGATTTACTTATATTTATAGCCAGGGTATTAACCTTGGTAATTAATTTTGTCATAATCATTTGTGTTCACCCCCAAAAAACAACAGGTGGTTCCGTCACACGGTGTGTGTTACGTGGCGTACGGGGGCGCCGAACACGGCCACCGAGACTACCAGGTGCTGACCAATCCGAGCGGCTCTAACCTGGTGTGGGTGCCGGCGGCCAACGGCGAGATACCGCTCGGCGCCCTTCAGGGCGGCCAACAGAGCGACGGCCAGAAGTTGTTCATCGGCCGCGCCTACCATTCGGGCTCAATGGTGTTGGGCAAAGTGCACCCTGGTCATAATACACTCTATGTCTCGTACGATGGCCAAGAGGTGCCGATCCATAACTACGAGGTCCTAGTCTGCAGAGATGTCTGCCATTAGTTGATCTCTTAAAGTGATTCATGATTTACAAGTTTTTGCCGTTTATTATAATTAATATTTGATTACTATTTTTGCCGACAATTTCAGACAATATGATAAATTCTTTCCACTTTTATTTAATTATTATTATTATCTGCTTTTTATGACTAAATATTTTCTGATATAAATGTTTTAGTTATATTTAATTACAATTATTATAATTTTAATTACAAAAATCTGTTTTTTCTTTTTATTGGACTTATTCTAAGACTTTTTCTTTTGAATATAAACACTAATAAATATTTAATTTAAAATATTAAACATTTCTATTTATTATAAAAGATGTACATCATTAAATACTATTAATCAATGAGAGAATATGCAGTACACTATTTGTGTACGTGTTAAAACATGTGAAAAATAAAAAAGCATGTATGACAATTTACAACAAACTAATAATAAAATCTAATACAATGACAATTGAATGTCAATTGATTTTTCTCCCGAAATCCCTCTCAAGTGTTGCGTTCAATGACTTTGCGATACATTTTTATTAGTTAATCATAAACTAGTTTTATATTATAATAAAATATATAATCGTTTTAATCGTTAGATTCTGTGAGCATATAATGAATTGTTATATAAAATTCTTGGAACTTTTTTCACTGATATTCACTGTATATTACATAACAATATATAAGAAAATGCTATCAAATGCCTAAATATAGTCAAAGAAATACATTTCTTGAACACCAAGTGATATATACAGGACGTCACGCATATATCGCCAGACAGTGTCGCCGGTGATAGGCATTGAATTAATGGGACAATTAATCACACCATTTGTTTGGTTTCACAAACTCGTTGTAATTTCTACGATAGTATCCATAATAATAATCACAAAATATACAAAAATCTAAGAATTATATACAGTACTTTCTGAACCTATTGATCTTATGTAACGGCCACCCGGGGTGAGTTTGGAGGTTACACTTTGCCAATATGCAACTTTTTTCATGATATAAGAATGAATAATGTAATTTTATACACTTACTGTATATCCAAACCTGTAACCTCCAAACTCACCCTGGTTGGCCTCGCCCTGGTTGTTAGTGAGTCCGTTATAACTTATAATACAGTATTGGTATTTCTGACTCTCTATATAATAAACGGATATTGATTACAATAAATTGATTGATAATTAGAAATAAAAATAGTTTATTTAAGCAGACAACGAGTTATTTTTTGTGGTCGTGATAAGTTTGTCGGAACCTAGATGATTTTCTAATGTATTGTCAATACAGTATTGAGTATATTAAGTACTTAGACGAGGGCCACCCCCACCCCGATTGCGTATCAATTACCAAATTGCTTTATCGTATGATTACTCCATTGCCTATCAATACAGTACTTATTCATAAGTGTTACAGGAATTAATGTGAAATTCAAATTAAATTTTACAAATGAAATGAAATTTTTGTTATTTGAATAGTTTAAGAAACGTGTTTATTTTGTAAATTTTTTGCTTTTGATTAATTAATCTCATATTTTTCTTCGTATGTAAACTAATATCAAATGATAGAAAATATTTGATAAATCGATGAATCATTAATGTAACCAAAGTCTGGGCTGTAATTTGATTGCAAATTATAATTACAAGAATTTTTGTGTATTAATTTTATACACTATTCAAAGACATAGTTTATTATTGATGGGATTTTTATTGCATTAATTAATATCAATTAAAATGACATTGTTGAGAGAGAGAGAGAGAGAGAGAGAGAGAGAGAGAGACTTACAAACCACAGATATATTGCTACGACAAACACATACACACTTCACTATAATGAGAGCAAAACAAAGTATTGATTATTTAGTAAATACATTACACTATCTATTAATTGAATAAATCAATTGTTTGTTAATATTATGGAAATTATGTAAAAAAATAGTTTCCATATATTTTTATATCAGAAAAATTTGTTTTTATTATAACATTAAAGGAAATGACTTTTCATACCATTATATAAGTGTTTTTTATGAATGCCATAAAAATAGATATTTATGACTGAATGCATAGGAAAATCAATTGTGAAATATGTTTATTATTATATCTAATGTAATACAAGAATAAAAACATAATATAAAGTATATGTAATACCATATGAACTAAAATCATAATAACTTTAATATTAATCAACAATTTTAAGGCAACAAATAATAAGCACTTTTTAGCAAACATTGAAATTAATTTTATTCATTTAATGATAACTTCAAAATACATTATATAATGGGAAGCCATGGATAAGCAGTGGACACGGAATGAACGGGCGATTCCCTGTCCATTAGGCTCGGGGGGTCTCAACTGTATTGACTACAAAAACTCGTTTCATTCATAAAACATTCAAATTTTAAACTAAATTAATATTTAAAAAATTAATTTACAATAAAAAGCAATTATAAGCTTCACATAACATTCATGGCTATAACTGTTGGGCTAATTGTTGGCCACCGGGTGTCAGGGGAGGGGTCGGGGGCGGAACCGGTGGGGCGGCGCTGGATGTGGCCGTGGATGACGCAAACGATGGCAGTTTGAAACCCTCTTTCTTGGCCTCGAAGAACGTATAGGAGAGTACGATATCATTGATGTTCTCGAGGCGGGGGTCGTCGGCGTACTCGGGGTCGATGTAGAAGAAGACCGGGAGGTCGACCAACTCGTTGGGGTTCAGCCGCTGCTCCTCGAAGCAGAAGCACTGGATTTTGTTTAGATAACTGCCCGCTTCGTACGGCTGTACCGAATACGTGGCGATACCTGTAGTGTACAAATGGGAGCATTTTATTAAACACATGGTAATTATCGATAGATAATAAGGTAATTAAAATAGTGAATGACAGGCGCTTTCAATGGCAGTGGGATTGTGTGATAATCGCCAGAGATTAAGGCATTGGTAACATAGATAGGGATATATAAATGCCAATCATTAGTACAAAACAATAGGCGAGAGAGAGAGAGAGAGAGAGAGAGAGAGAGTCAATCACACAAACCATCGACGGGTCTGTCCAACGGATTCTTGGCGGTGAAGAAGGCGAGTACAGTCTCTCCGGGATAGCACCTGATCTCGGGCTGAGTGGGCATAAAAT